GGCACGGTTTGATCTTCGGCTGACCAATCAGCAGAAAGGGGCGTTTAATTCCCGCCCATGTGTAGAAATCGAATATTCAAGTTGTTTATTAATTTTTCCACCCATGAACGAAAAACGAAAATTTAAGCTGAATTCTCGAAAAACGAAAAAGGAGCCGTTTTCTAATTTTTCTACTTTCAATATTAAATCAAAAAACGAATGATCGAATGATACACGGATTCCCAAAGGTACTATAAAATGCCAAATATATTTGGTAGTGGTTCACATTAAATTGTTAAAATGGAACTATTAACCCATGCTTAACAAATACTTTGACCAATACCTTAACCACAACAGTAATTCAAAAAGGAGGAATGACAGAGAGTTATGTACCTGTTCCACACTATTGTACAGAACTTGACAGCAGCTGCAGTAACCCTGTCTTTGGGAGCTGGAAGGACCAGCAACAGGCTCTTCTCCTCTACTAGTCCTTCAGATGGGGTAAATAATAGATTTAGATATTTATTTGTTTTAGATTTGTAATTTAAACACATAATGGGATGGCTAATGGATTGCTGCAAATTTAATTTCAGACAACTCACCTGCCGGACATGTCAGCTGGACGCCTCTCTGCATCTACAACACATGACAAAACATGTAAATGCATTCTCTAAAATCATTGCTTCTCAACTAGTTTTGCTTCAGGACACATATATTACATTGGACATCAGTGGTAACCCAACACAATACCAAATTTACTAATCTTTCAAATGTTAAATATACCCTTAAAACATTTAAATTGTTCTTATTTATTAAAGGGGTCATATGATGCGATTTCAAGTTTTCCTTTCTCTTTGGAGTGTTACAAGCTGATTGTGCATAGAGAAGATCCCTGAAGTTGCAAAGACTAAAGTCTCAAAACCAAAGAGATATTCTTTATCAAAGTTAAAATGATCTTTAAAAAAGCATCATATGACCCCTTTAAATATCTTTAGGCAACAATTCCTCATGAGCAATGCTCATCCTCATCTTCATAATTAACCCATATTTATTGTAGCCTAGGTAGTCTCCAAGTAATTTTTTTTTTCTTTTTTGTAGTGTTGTTCATAATTTTTTGAAGATAAATAAGTGTCTCACAACCTGTCCATATTGGCATGTGTCTAATTTGACTAGATTTCTAACAAGTGACAGGTCAGTTTGTGCCAAAAAGCTGAACAGTTTGATTGGAGGCACATCCTTTTACGTCAACAACATAGGTTTTCATCTCCCTTTTAAAAGTTATTTATTATAAAAATCTATTTTATTATCCTAACTGTATATGATTATTTAGTTAGTATTTTATTAGTCCCTCCAGGCTCTCCAGTGCTCAATGATAAAACAAAAAACAAACAAACAAAAAAAACTAAAATATAATGGTGTAATATCAGAACGCCTTACTTTTAGCAGAGGATTGTGGTCCCTCCTCCAATGGCATGGTGCTGTCTATAAACAATTACAAAATAAACAGAGTAAGAGAGAGTTGCATAGTGTATCATTGTATCATATATTTGTGTGATTTTATCTTTCTTGCTCTGGGCCTTATAGAAACAACATTTCACTGAGCTAGGCAATTACTAATGCTATATTGTTGTGTATTTTATAAATAAACCTGACTTCAGCAATAGACTATAAGAAAAAATATTCAAAAAACAGATCTACTACATTACATAAAATACTATAAATGTACTCACCTACATGGAGGAGAGGATGACTAAATGTTTCCGTGTTACATCACCGCGTAGATGTGTACACTACAGCCACGTGTGGTAAGTTAAAAGTCGCATCTAAAGATACAGGATACGTTAAGCAGAATTAGAAAACACTTAAAGTCTCTTGTAACTAAGTGCACTTGCTTCTTATTCTACTTGTATAATACGAACCTATACGTTAAGAAAGAAAGATACATTAATAAAGCACGATTTGTATCTTAAATCAGTTTTGATACTTTAAAACCCGTATATGACGAACTTGTGATTCATTTGAAATGTTTTTACGGTCCAGCTTTAACTACTCATAAATGAATAACTTACTCATATTTATGTACCGGCCTGCACACACAAACAAGGCCATTTAAACAGCGCGTCCCAATATTACCACAAACACACTTTCACGTAAAATGTATCTGAAAACGCTTAAATTTTATACGGTTTCAGACTATACACATTGTTTGGGAACACACCATTTGTAGTTTAAGCTAGCCATCTATGCTAGTTCTCTTAGCAAGCTAGTGACACTTAGCATGACAGCGGGACCGTGACATGGTAAATATTCACTTATTTATGATTTGCAAAATATCTTAAAATTGATTGCAGTCTTCACCGTGCTGTCACCTGATTATAGATGTTATTCCACTTAGATCCCATCGGTATCCGTATTTAGCTCAGGTCTGCTCGTGGAGTGACGTAAGAGTGAAGCGCGGGAATCTGCCCACTAGTAAAGTCCGAGGCGGAATTTAATCAATGGGGCTGCAAACTCCAAATAACCTTTATAGAAAATTCAGATTGCATACCTTGATGGTAACATCATAAATGTTGCAAACTATGAATTTCTTCAATAGTTCCCACAGTCATGCTAAACCTGACACACACACATATAACAAATTATAAAGCAAGCAAGCAAATGTCATTAAAAATAATACCTAAAGTCATAATTATTGGTTATATCTGCTACAGTATATTAGAAATTGCTCAGTACATTTAAAGAGAGAGACAGAGAGGGCACTAAGAAAGAAATAGCCTTTAAAAGCATAACATTCATGGCAAATATTTAACATTTTCAATTTGATGCCACAGAGAATCATTCTGAAATCACATAAAACTAAACCAGAAACAAAGGTGCATTTGAAGTGCTTTTATTGGAATAATGCTTTGTTCGGTGGGGTTTTAGATCTTGTTGAAGGCTGCCACATCCATGGATTGCACATAGTCCTCAAAGGCTGTGATCAGTTCCTCCAGCTGGTCTGTTCCAACTTTATCATCTTCCACAACACAGGCAATCTGCAGCTTCTTAATGCCATAGCCGACAGGCAACAGTTTAGCTGTACAGAAGTCAAAAGTGACAATTAGTCTATTGAAATACAAAATCAGAAACTGCTTGTTTTGGTTGGCCTAACATTTCATCAGTTTTGGTGAGCTGTTTGCATTCAAGTGATTATATTTTGGCTTACACTGTCCCCAAACTAAACCATCCAACTGAATGCTGCGGACACACTCCTCAAGCTTGGCCATGTCGGTTTCATCATCCCAGGGCTTGACATCCAGCAGAATGGAAGACTTGGCGATAAGTGCAGGCTCTGCTCAGACATTAAAAACACAGAGTCAATGGTAAAGCAAACACGGGAATTCAGCAATCACAATGAAATGACTAGTGGATATCAGGTTAAAAAAAGTGTCAATCACATCATTCAGCCGAAAGATGGTAATATGAAGTCATCACAAAACTAGTCACAATGTTACTATATGCACACTACCAGTCAAAAGTTTGGAACAATTAGGATTTAAGGTTATTGAAAGAAGTCTGTTACGCTCACCATGGCTGACTTTGATAAAAACGCTGTAACAGTGCAAAATATTATTACACATTACTACACTGTATTCCATTTTAATATATTTTTAAAACGTAATTTATTGGTTTGATGGCAATGCTAATTTTTTTATAGAAGCAATCGATCTTCTGTGTCACATGATCCTTCAGAAATCATTCTAAATCTAATTTCATTCATTCTAATATGCCGATTTGGTGCTCAAAAAACAATTCTTAAAATGTTAAAAAAAGTTTTTGCTGCTTGTGGAAACTATGATTCACTACATTTAAAAGTGTTTTGGGTAAGATTTAGGAACAAATTTAACGGTTTCCACAAAAATTAAGCAGCAAAAACAGTTTTCAACATTGATAAGAACCATTATTGATAACTGAGCACCAAATCAGCATATTACAATGATTTCTGATTTCCTTGGTGAGCACAAGAGACTTCAGAAACGTTAAATCTCAATTGCAAACTTTTAACTGGTAGGGTGCACTTAAAAGACAATGAATACATACTCTTTGCCTTCTTTGCATTGTATGCTGCAAGCCTCTCCTCCTTGATCTTTTTGGTTTCCTCATCCTGTAAAGAAAGAGATCCATGATCAGGTGAGCAAATACATACAGCAACTGCATGGTCAATTTTCTACCTGGTTTTCAGGAAGAAAAAGTTGTCCATCACAGCATCAGCCGAAAGATGGTGAGAAAAATCATCATGTGACCAGGCAATCCTGTCAAAACACACCATCCCTTCTGTTACTGAACTAACCTCTTCCTCATCAGAACCGAACAGATCGATGTCATCGTCGTCTTCATCAGCCGCCGCAGGAGCTGCTGCAGTTGTGTCCTCCACACCAGCAGGGCCGTACTGACTGAGAGGCTTCTTCACACCTGGAAGGCTAAAGGTAAGAAAAGGAGAGTGAATTCTTGTTACGGAGCAAGAGCACCTGCTTTTGACAGTCTGAGAAGTCCCAGCCAAATCAGAATTTGAAAGATTGTGCATCAGTCACTCAGGCGAAAGATGGTGATAGGATAATCATCATATTTTGCTGGAAGTACCTGCAAAACATTAAAAATTACAAACAAGCTTCACATTACCTGCCCTTCTCCTTCTGGTAAGACTTGATGTGGTTGTACCACCGCAAAGCATGGCACAGGTCAGCAGAGGGGGCGCCAGACAGGGCATCAAACACTGCAATATCAGCCTGAGAGGGCACATACCTGGCAAGAAAATGTGTATTGAGCCATCAAATGTGTAGTGAGGCTGGTGCTTTCCTCCATGAGCAATACGAGGCATTTATAAATGGATTAAATTACATAACTGCATATTTATAAATGGATGCACAGTACAGCAATGAAAATGTGGCTCCTGACAAACACTTGGGGGAAGTGTACTACTAGAAATACAGACCTACAATGTTTGACTGAACATACATATGCCATATTCATAGCTAAAAAATGAATAACCATTACCTTTGACGCTTATCACTGCATCCAAAATTATTTTAGTATTACAGCATAAGAAAAAGAGGACAATCACAAGATGTTACAAGCCAACTAAGAAGACTTGATAAATAAAGTCTTAAAATAGCTTACCCCTCGATGTAACTTTTGTCTGACAGAAACTCATTCAGAACTTTGAGTCCAGCGAGTGTTTTGAGATCACCAAAGCCCATTGTTACAAGTTACCGTGAGACCTCGTGTACAGACGTGAAACCTTGAGCTTGGAGGAAGAGCGAAGGAACGAGAAAAGACCGTGAGATGGTCTTTATACCGCTGACGCTTTGACTCCGCCCACCCAGACATATTTTACAAAAACATACTAAAATGGGACATTCTTCACAGCACTTTGCGCTAGGTATGGAAAACTTAACTTTTATACACAATAAAGACGGCACGATAATCATCTCCTGTTTTTCACAGATACCGAAAATCTTGTTGACCGTTTGGCTTTTAACGTGAAATAAGAGAAGGAAACGACCGCTTTTATGAGCGGAAATGACGACGGATAAAGGTAAAAGGTCAACGAAAAACGTTAGATTAAACATATAAAATGTATTTAATATAGTACTGTATTTTAACATAAGTGTATGCATTTCCTATATTATAGAATAATCTGATCAAATAAAATATTTTTGTCTTTTTTTCAAAGATTAATGTGCATCGGCTATTTCCGTCATCTACGTAAACACCCGAGTAACGTTACACAATACACATTCATAACTGAATCTGCGGCTGTAACGCTGTTCTGGTCTAGAAGGCCAAATAGCGTCAAGGTGAGAATTAAAGAATGTCTTTTTGTCTAGATTAAAGTGTAAAGGGCATTTTGTGTGGACATTTACTTTTGTGTATATCGGCTGGAATTATAAATGCATGCGAAACATGGGTAATTTACAGTAACGTTCTCCCTGTCCTTGAGTAATCTGCAGTGCTGTTGAGTGCTAGCCTGCAAACCAGTTTGTGTATAGATGGAAATGTCAGCAGCATTGGTTTTACATTTGAAGTGTCTGATCTACTTTGCCTTAACAGTGCAATACCTAGATACATTTAAAATGGGTTCTTTTATAAATATTGTGCTTCATGCTTTTTTTAGGGCATGTTGTTTTATTGGAGTTATAAAATCTCAGGTTTTGTAATCCTTGCCAAAGGATTTGTTGTGCTGACTGTCTTCACTAAGCAGACATTTGAATAAAGAATTTATTATTAATACTGTCATTTGTATATGTAGGGTCTGATCAGTAAGATTATATTGTGTCTATTTCTTTACAGTGTCCTTGTTTCAAAGTGCAGTGGCATATTTATCCATTGTTAACCTAGATACTATTCATTAAATATTGGGGATCAACATGTTATGTGTGCTTCTAATCACTGGCATTTTCTCCTACAGCGACATGTTGCGTTGGCCAGCAGTAAGTCGGGCTTTGGCTGGTGCGGCCCATTCCAAGGGCTCTATTACCACCACTAACAATGGTAATTTGCATTCTATTTTCATCTTTGAAATTCAAGTGTAGTGCCCTTCTTTAAGAATGTTAAGCAACTTTACTGACAATCATTTTCTCACACTGGCTTGTTTTTACAACAGTGCAGACTTCAGTCCGGGCCTCAAGCAATATGGTTGAGGTGTTTGTAGATGGAAAACCTGTCATGGTGGAGTCAGGGACCACTGTTCTACAGGTAATAATGCATTGAACATTTTCTTCTATTAATTCCATGTAAAGTTGTACATTCCATGTAGTATGTTGACATGCCAACTGTGTTTAGGCTTGTGAGAAAGTAGGTGTGCAGATTCCTCGTTTCTGCTATCATGATCGTCTTTCAGTGGCCGGTAACTGCCGCATGTGTCTGGTGGAAATCGAGAAAGCACCAAAGGTAACATGCACTATTATACACAAACACACTACGATTATAACATCATTGTTAGCACATATTATCGATTGTCATCAAAATACATGACAAGTCTTAGTTTAAGCATTTTTTTCTTCATCTGTACTTCATCAACAGCCTGTTGCAGCATGTGCAATGCCTGTCATGAAAGGGTGGAACATTTTGACCAACTCAGAGAAAACACGGAAAGCCAGGTTTTGAGATGTTTCTTGCTTTACAAATAATTTTCACGCATCACATTACATATAGTGCATTTATTAATTTGTATTTATTTTTGTGTCTCCTATAGAGAGGGAGTCATGGAGTTCCTGCTTTCCAACCACCCTCTTGACTGTCCAATCTGTGATCAGGGAGGAGAGTGCGATCTGCAGGTAAAAAAAATGTTTGCAGCAATTTAATGGAACTTGACTGTGAACTTGAGTATGCACTCAAGAATGGAAATGGAATTATCCCTAATGCAGTTTTTACCCATCTTGATGTTGTACTGGATATATAGGACCAATCGATGATGTTTGGTGCTGACAGAAGCCGTTTTACAGAAGGGAAGAGAGCAGTTGAAGATAAGAACATCGGCCCGCTCATTAAAACAATCATGACCCGCTGTATACATTGCACACGTTGTGTTCGGTGAGTTAAAGGTCTATTATTCTTCAAGCTACATAAAACACTGAATTCATTAATAATACTTATTAGATAATTTATAGTTGTTTTATTATAGGTATTACATTTACAATAAAAGAAGAATTTTCATCTGTAACTACTGATACATGATAGCTACTGTATAAAGTCATATACACCTTTGCTGTAAAACAATGGCATACGGTGCTCGTGCCTATTACATTCAGGATCATACAGAGCAC